AGACGGTGAAGCTGGGTTCAGCTGGGTTCTCTAATGAGGCCCATGGCTCCCAGGACCATCGGCCTGTTCATTAGGTACAGCACACAGGGAGGTCAGCTAGACTGGGCAGAGGTCTCTGTACATGAGCAGACTCAGGCTGGAAACACCCCAGAGGAGGAGGAAACTACAGTTGCTGGTCTGCACACACTGGTCAATCATTGGTAAACAATCATGTTTGATTCCCGAGGAAAGCGTGGCCATTCCTCTTGAGCCTGGACCATATGGGTGATGGCTCTGCCTATTGATGGGGGACAGTTGGTCTCTGAGTCTTAGATGGCCCCATCCAAGTCTAAATATACATTTCCTCAGGACTTCACACATTCAAGGCTTCCTTGTTCCCTACACAGAAGCAGGATGGGGACCATCAGGCTGACTGGATCCCTCTCTGCCTCTAGTTGTCTCTAGCAGGCCGATCAGAGCCAGGGGCCTCTCTCAGACCCGTGCCAGACAGAGCACAGTGTCCACATAGTTCCCTCCTGAGCTCCAGCAGGCAATCCTCCAGGTCTTCATCTGCCCCATACAGGTCCTGGCCAACTACACAGCCACTGGCAGCTGCTTTCTGACACTTAGGTGTTCTACCAGAGCACCCTGCGTTTGGTGACTTTTCCTCTGGATATAGAATTGATCTTTCCCTTTGTGTGGTGCCAGTGTGTGCTAGGCATCAAAAAAGAGGGAACTGTGACTGAGGATGAACTTGCATCAGATTGCCTATAGCCTATTAGAAAGTGGGTGGGTTTTTTGTTTTATTTTACTTTATTTTATTTTATTTTATTTTATTTTATTATTTTATTTTTGAGACATGGTTTCTGTGCATAGTTTTTGAAGCCTGTCCTGGAACTCACTTTGTAGACCAGGCTGGCCTTGAACTCACAGAGTTTCACTTGCCTCTAACTACCAAGGGCTGGGAATGTAGGCATGGGCCACCACTGCCCAGGCTGGTATTTTCTTGATTAATGACTGGTATGGGAGTGTGGTTGTCCACTAGGGGATGTGGCACCACTGGGCAGGAAGTCTGATTTGTATAGGAAAGCCAGCTCAGCAAGCCAGTCAACATATGTTTCACTTCCTGCCTCCAGGTTCCTGCCCTACTTGAGTTCCTGCCTTGATTTCCCTTCAATGATGGTCAATGATCAGGATGTGTGAGCCAAATAAACCCTTTCCTCCCCAGGTTGCTTTTGGTGCTGGTGATTGGCACATCAATAGAAAGTAACCTAGGACAGACATCTACGTTATCCATAGGTCATGAGGGACAGTGGATGCTTTGGTGTCAGAGAATGAATATGGAAGGGAGGCTAAGACACACCCTCTCTGAGAAAAGGTGTTGGTGGGCAGAACTTTGGGGGATGGGCAAGCCCTAACTGCCACAAGCTGGGGTTTAACTTCCATTATGTAGCCCACTGCTAGAGATGTGGTACTCAGATAGGGACCTTGTCTCCTCCTGGCATTTCTAACAGCTCAACTCCCAAAGGAGGAGAACCAAAGGCCATCCCCAACCACCAGGGCACAGGAGCAGCA